AAGGCTAAACAGGCCTTTTATTTCCCTAATTTTGTCTCCAAGGAGAACCCAAAAGGACACATTCACTGTGCTGGTAATGGCAACCCTGTCAGCTCGCGGACCATTCTTCCCTGCATCATGCTACCGTCTGGGCTTTACTAGGCCAGGATTAGATCCATAGCTAAGCAAATGCACATGGCCACATACAATAGATTTTTTTTTTCCTTCAGAAAGCCTAATTAACACATCACACATGCATTTTCTTTTATAACATCAGAAACTGGCAACCATGCAGACTTTGCTGTCAAAATGTTATAGTTTGCACTGGGCTGTGAAGTGTTTTTCCCTGAGGCAGAGGAATAAACGGCAGCTACAAATTAAAATGTATAGGTTTAAAAGATTCAAATGACTATGAAATTAAACTGTTAAATAATTTCTTAAAAGGCAGCGTTGTCAATGATCACGCACCGCAGCAAGAGTCAGAGCCGAACCCAGAAGTGCTTGTTCCAGCTATGCAGGAATTCATTATGCTGGCAAGCGCAAGCCCACAGTAATAAATTATCACAGAGCTCTGGGTTGAACGGCACCCGGGCTGGAGTATAAATAGATTTGTGAAGCCCTTCTCACCTGTTGTTTGCCTCGCGGTCAGTTCATCCTTCTGCAAACAAGTTACAAACAACACTACTTGACTCTTATCCTGGGTAAATATACATACATATGCCTTTTGAAAAGCAGTGCATCTTTTCGCAGTGAAATACGTTTCATCTTCTCACATATAAAATTGTGACTGAAGACAGCTATGAGTCAGAAATTACTGCAGAATTGCAGACATGCAAAGCTTTGGGATTTGGGACAAGTTTTCTTTGCTCAGGCCTATTGTGAGCACAGAAAACATTTAGTTAGAAAACTTTATTCTATATAGGACCTCTCAGGTACATTGTCCCCCAAACATGTAAATAAATGGCACCACTGTAATGCCAAATAATCGATAGCAGCAGCAGATGACACAAAAAACCCATGGCAAAAGAGGAAGAGGAAGAGAGGGCCAGTGTGGAAAGAATATGGTGGGACAGATTTATTCCCTATTGGAATTGCACCGAGGAAGATTTTAGGCCAACACTTAACTGGGACAAGAGCAACCTGTATGCTCGCAAAAAAAAAAAAAAAAAAAAAAAAAAAAACTCCCCCCAGGGGGGAAAAGGAAACAACTCT